AGGGGGTGATGTCTAGCTTTCTCTCTCTCTCTCTCTCTCTCTCTGTCTCTCTCTGTCTTTCTGGCTAGCACATGCGCCCTAAAGCAAAAATCTCTCCCAAAAAAATTTTTTTCGGTAGGCACACACATGCCCAGTTTTATTTTCAAGCCGCCAGGTCTGGGACTAAAACCATGGTCAGCCATGTTGGAATCCAGTGCTTTAACCACCACACTACCTGGTGGTTCCTAAACTGATGACTTTTTAAAAACATGTTTTCTAACTCTGACCATTGAATAAGGGCCTAGAAGCAATGCAGCAATACATACATCAAGCAGTACCCAAGTCCTGGTTTATAACCATCATTTTCTATCAAAAGAAGCAAAGATCCTTGGAGAATTGAGAAAACACACAGATAAAAAGAAAAAAAAGAGAGAGAAAAAGAAAGAATTTAAGAAAAATACAAGAGGCACCTGTACTATTCTGCTTTATTGAAAAGCAAGGAAGATCTCAAAGATCAATTAGGGCTTAATCAAAAAGATGAGAGCCAGCTTGAAGAGAGGCTCACACTGGCCAAATAGGGTCAATCTGAGCAACACAAACAATAATGTGACCTAGCCGTGGTTGGCCCAATAGTAAGTAGCACAATGCTCTGTGACAGTGCAAGTGATATGGAAGGCTGGGCTTCAGTTCCTGGTCAACCATGTGCATGCCCATGATTGGGAAGGTCACAGGGGGAATTCACAGCATGAGACCCTGTTGAAGGTGCTCCTTCTTCTCTCCCTCTCAAGAAACGGGGGTAGGGGGCACAGCCCTGTAGCACAGTGGCTGAGTTAGGTCACATATGGCCAACCATGTTCAAATCCCTAGCATGAAAACTCATCAGGCTCATGTACATGTGAGCCCAAAATCCTAAAAAGATGAAGTAATGAAGAAGGCATAAGGCCATGACGACACTTCATCAGGGGTGTTTTTTCTTTCTCCCCCCATTTCTCTCTCTCTCTCTCTGGTGAAAAGACATACTCTTTGGCAATTAAAAATAAACAAAAGACTATAATTCACTGATTTAAACAAAAACCCCTTGAGTACACAGTAATTTTATTCTTAAATTAGATGGAACAATAGTAGTAGTCTATACTCCTAGAAATTTCAGACATATAAGACAAAAAAATGCCAAAAGAAAGCCAGGGCTAGCCAGTGGCATGGTTCTTAAGGCAGTTGGATCCCACATGGCCAAATGCGTGGTTCAAGTCTTGGACATGGGGGCTTGAAAAACATGCCATGTGTGGGACCATCACTGGACTTCCGTGGAGTCAACCACAGTTCAAGTTCCAGACCTAGTGGCTTGAAATTCATGCCAGACATGTGTGCTTGTGTGCCCAAAATACCAAGACATGACTGAAGGAGAAGGGACTGCGGAACGGCCACCCCCCAGGGAGGTGATCTCCCACTTTCTGTCTCTCTCTGTCTCTCCAGCAAGCGCCCATACCCTATGGCAATAATTTCTCAAAAAAATGCCAGGTGTGTGTGCCCAAAGTCCCAAGAGGAGAATGAAAAATCATAAACCCCACAAAGACCAAAAGAAACAAAAGGTCAAAGAAGTAGTCTTGATTAAAGAGTTAAGAGACATGACAATTAAATACACTATTTGAGATCTGCCACTTACTCCCAAACCCCACAGCTTGAAAAATATTAAAACTATAGTCAGATGGGCAACTCAGTGGTATAGTGGTCAAGGTAGACTGGATCCCATATAGCCAACTGTGCTGTTTGAGTCCCAGACTGACTGCTTGAAAAACACATAGGGCATATGTGCATGCATGCCTAAAATCTCAAAAGAATGAAGAAGGGATTATGTTGTGGTCATCCCACCCTGGGAGGGTGGGGGGAGTTGTTTTCTCTCTTTCTCTGTCTCCTGCAAGTACTCTATAGCAAACTAAAACAAAACAAAAACTACAGTTAGATGGAATCAACCAAAGTGTCTAATAACTTATGAATGGAAAAAGAAAATGTGGTATCAGGACCAACAATTGGCATAATGGCTATGTCACTGTACTCCCACATAGTTGACCACGGTTCGAGTCCCAGACCTGGTGGCTTGAACTCACTCCAGGCACGTGTGCGTGCGTGCCCAAGATCCCAAGAGGAGAATGGAGGAGAAGGGACTGCAGTGTGGCCATCCCCCCCCCCTGGGGGGTGATTTCTCGCTTTCTGTCTCTATGTCTTTCTGGCAAACACACACACTGTATAGCAAAAACCTCTCTCTCTCTCAAAAAAAAAAAAAAAAAAAGAAAATGTGGTATTTATGGAATACTACTCAGCAACAAGGAACAATGAATTCTTGGCATTTTAGACCAAATGATGAACCTAGAAGATAAGTGTTAAGTGAGATGAGTCAGACTATGAAAAACAAACACTGTATCTCCCTGTTTAACAAACACAGGTGTGTTGGGGCCGGCAGGTGGCATGGTGGTTAAGGTGCTGGACTCCCACATGGCTGACCACGGTTTGAGTACCAGACCTGGCAGCTTGCTTTCATACTTTTCCTTTCTCTCTTTCTCTCTGGTAAAATAAAAATAAATAAATAAATAAAGTTAAATAAAATAATTCTTAAAAAAGAAACTGTCTAGGCTGTAAAGAAAAAAATTGAAAAAAAAAAAGAATTATTTATTTTATTTGATTTATTATTAGTTTTAAATTTGACCAGAGAGAGAGAAAAGGAAAGTGAGAAACCAAGCCACCAGGTCTGGGACTTGAACTGTGGTTGGCTATGTGGGAGTCCAGTGCCTTAACTACCACACCACCTACTAGCCCTGCAAGTGCTTTTCTTTGGGTCTATTTAGGAAATTTTGCGTAATCTAAGGTCACAAAGGTGTTTTTCTATGTTTCTTATAAAAGTTTTATTGCTTTACTGCCGGTAACTTAATCTTGGACTTACCAGTCTCCATTACTGCAAGCGCGCTCTCTCGCTCTCTCTCTATATATATATATTTTAAAAATCCATACTCTATCTCACAAAGTTGTAAAATGATCATATATAAATCAGAAATTACAATTTAGGGGGAAAGACAAACTATCAGACAACTTACTTGTCACACAATATAGAAAGAAAGAAACTTTCATAATTCCAAAAATTATGAGTATCATTTCTCATCAGCAAGTTTCAACACAAATGAAAGTTTTGGAATGTTTTAAGAAAACTAGGATAATCTGGAATTCAGGCTTAAACAACAATTTACCAGTTTATGCATTTAATTAAACATACATTACCTAAATACACTTGTAAAATCCCAAATTAACCTTGAAAGGATTACAAAAATACATTCATTAAGTCAAAATTTTTCACTAATATGTTATTATTATAACGCTTTACTGTAACTTTCTATTTTTTTCTGTTTATTCATGACAAAGCACATGCATGTGTACGAGAAAGAAAGACACCCTCCATAGGCTCTGAGCATATCAAGATCCCCTTCCTCTAGCCCACTGCATCTCAGGCACTTGCACAAATGCCCAGCATACTTCAGGTTGACTCCGCCAGGGATTCAAACTGCAGGCTTCTCTTGAGCAGTACATTATCATCACTGCAGCACGGAGCCAACCCTAACCTTATTCTAAAATAAAGTTTGAACTTTGACGATAAAGAACATATCCCTCCCAAAGTAATGAAAAAAGTATATGAGCTTCTGATTACTAAGCTACCAGCTTCATAGGTAATGACTTATTTTTTTCCTTAAAGCACTGTGATGTAAGCCAACTTTCTAACAAAATTCTTCCCGCCAGTATTGAAAATATAAAATTTCTTCCGTAAGCCTCAAGAAAATTGGCTAAATACAGAACTCCAAGTTTCAGCACAAACTCAAATCTGAACAGTATTTTACCTTCTCCTGGGTAAGGAGACCAATTAAAAAGACCAAAAGTATCTCATTGTAATAAAAGATGGATGTCAAATGTAATTAAGATTAGGAAAAGAAAAATGCCACCAGGGAACAAATAACCTTTTTTTTCTTGGTCAGTAGAAATTTTGTTTTAATTAAATAGATCCACCACTACACCACATTCTCGGGTCACAAAAAACTAAATAAAATAACAACCCCCTAGTGCAAGCATTAGCTCTCAGTGTGTACTTTTTTAAAAGTCAACTCTGCACTCCCAAGAGGTGTTCCTTTCAACACAGACTTTTGTGTTCATATTACAACGACTTCCAAAGTTCCTGAACAGTTAACGTCATCTGTGTAGAAACTACTTTAAAGCATTACTGACAGGCTTTCTACAAGCAACCCGTACTTTTCTGATTTGATTTATCGACGCCGGAAGAGCCACTAAGCGCAAGGGTTACAACCAAGTATAAACATTTACGTTCTTTTCTTTACAAGAAGCAACGCTTTCAAAGATTCTAAATATCTAGTTGCCAAAAGACAACTTAAAATTGGAGATGTGGAGTTATTAAAGGAACACTTTAAAACAACACTTAAAAGAGAGCACGATCTAAAACAAACCAAATAGGAACACAACTATTCCAAAGGAGCAGGGTTTTGCCAATCAAGCTGTGGCTTTATCGCTGTTATAAACAGCTACTACAAGCCAGAATAAAACCGAGGCTAAACCTTCAGCTGTTGCAGAGGTTTCACTTTAACGTCCTATGACCCATTCCACCAACCACTCAAAGCCACACTCCATTCAACTCTCAGCCCACTCCCGCCCCAAATCTGTTTAAACGCGCTGCCCTCCAAACTGCATGTCTTATCCGTGGCCTGCCTTGCCTACGTCTTCTCATTACCAGCGGTCCCCAGTCTAGGCCTTAGCCTTCCCAAGTCCTTTCCTGGCCGGCCTCAAGCTTCCAGCCCCCTCCCCCACGGCTCGAACCTGCCTCAAAGAGTCCTCCCGATGTCCATCCTCCCATCTCCTCCAACCCGTGCCCAAGCGCCCCTCCAGGCCCCCAAAGCACGCAACGGCCGAGCCTGAAAATGGCGGAGTGCCACCTACTGCTGCGGGCGAGCGGCCCGGTCCGCTCCGGCACTCACCGTGTGGCGTTGAGCACAGCTCCCAAAGGCGAGCGAAGCGTTGCTCTTTACTGTCTGGAATGTCTCTCCAGTCTGGCCTCCTCCCTCCGCCCCTCTCAATCCCTCTCCTCCAAAGGAGAAGCCGCCATCTTCCCCTATGAGCCACCAAGCGCGCGCCCTTGCGTCATCACGCACTGGCGTACGATGCTGCGTCAGCGCGCCTGGGCCGCAGCCTTCGTAGGCTGGCTCTGCGCATGCGCAGGGTGAGGGGCCCAGGCTGGCGAGATAACCACGAGGACTGTGTGGGTTCTTCCTTTGTTCCGCTGCGAGGAGTTGAGCGTTGCTCCCTGAAGGAAGAATGAAGCGACAGGTTTCTCAGAACGGACCCCCTTCACGTCGTGAGCCACCCTAGATGATCTCAAAAACCCTGTTTACCAAAATTTTAATATGATACTGTTTGTGGCGGTTACAGTAGGCAGCTTGGCCAATCCCAGAGTGGAGTTAGGGGCAAAGCCCTTGGCCTTCCTGTCCTTTTGTCCACCTTGAGTGTAATGAGAGCACCTAGCAGGGCAGCCTGGCAACCAGGGCTCGCCCATTGCCTGATGCTAGCTGTGCCTCCATCGTCTCCTTTCCTCACTTAGAATAGAGACAAGTTCAGCCACTGTGGAAAACCATGCCCCAGTTTCTGCTAAAGCTGAGTGTACACTGACCCTGCGGCAAGAAAATCCATGCTAAGAGCAATGAGTACAAATATTCCTGGCACCTTCATTCATAATCACCAAAAACTAGCAACCCAAATCTCCACTGAATCAGTGGGTAAATTGTGTTACAGCCACACAGTGAAATTCTGCACAGTGATAGAAAATATCTGAAGTAGGAGACAGGCTTGGGATATAGAATTAGGGTATGAGCCCCAAAATAGAGACAGTAACCCAAGATGGAGTCACAATGGCTAAGTTGTTCGTTTATAGATTTTTGCCATAGGTGTCAGGCTTGGCCAGAGAGAGACAGAGAAGGAAAGAGAAATCTCGAGTTGGTTTTGGAGGAAGACCAAGCCTCAGTCCCTTCTACATTCTCTTGGGGGTTTAGGGACCCTGGCACACACCCAGCATGATTTTTGTTTAAGAATTATTTTAATTTGGGACCAGCAGTTAGTGTAACTTTATTTATTTTAATTTGACCAGAGAGGGACAACGTGAGAGAGAAACAGGAAAAGCAAGAAAACAAGTCACCAGTTCTGGGTCTCCAATGACGGTCAGCCATAGTGGGAGTCCAACACTTAACTACCACCCCACCTGCCAGCCTTCCCAGGCTTGATTTTTCTTCTTTTCTTTCTTTCTTTCTTTTTTTTTTTTTTTTTTTTTTTTTTTTTTTTTTTAAAGTTTTTTTTTGTGGGGAGGGG